TGCCATGGTCAACGTGTGCGACGATGCAGAAATTGCGAAAACGTTCGATTGGGATTGCGGCAATTCTCTTCTCGAGGTCTGCGTCGAGTTTTGTAGGCGTGGTTTTCGAACGTCCATAATAAATCGTCGAAGTAGAGAAACACCTTTTATCATACGAAGAAAAGACAGTTGGAGGTCGGAGGCTTGCGGCCTGGCATCTCGGCGCTGCGCTCAGCCATCGGCCTAACTGCAGACATCCTCGCATCGGGACTTCTGCGGTGGCATAGGAGGGGCTGATGGTATGCAAGCGTCGAATTGAAGTGTATCCGCAGGGCAATCGATCAGCAATTCAGTGCTGGTTGGTCTTGTCACGATTTGCGGAGAAAAAACGGACGGGCGGGCGGTGACTGTTTATTGCTGCGGTGACCACTCGACATAAACAAAGCAACTTTCTTTCACCTTCAAAGTCCTCGGCTGGCTATCTACAAGCTCATCATGCCGGAAACCAAGGAAAAGTCAAAGGTGCACAAGCTGTCAATCAAAGGTCCATACCCATCGTCTACTTATGTAGCCATCGTGGTTGTACAGAGCTTACAAGATAATAGGATCGGCCAAGCTTGTCTCCGAATTCGTGAGTCGCCTTTTTTGGTTGTGTCAATGAAGTTCTGGTACTGACAGTCTCAGTTTGAATACTCGATTAATTCAATTCTGTAAGTTGCCAGTCGTACTCAGTCTAAGACACTGGCTGATCGCATTGGGTGTTCAGCTTCCAACGAGGAGTCTATCCTCCTGAGGATTTCACAACGTAAGTATGCCCTCTCAACTTTGTCACCTACAGTGCAGCAAGCTAATTAGAGATAGGATTAAAAAATATGGCCTCAATATGTTAGGTTCGTGAACCGTGACCTTCTTAATCGGTGTGGACAGCCCTAACCTCATCGCAGTTTCGGCCGACGATCAGGTCAAAGCCTACATCAAGAAGATCATGTCCCAGTTGAAGGAATGGATGCAGGGGGGAAAGATCTCGAAACTTGTGGTTGTTATCACGAGCAAAGAGACCGGGGAACATGTGGAGAGATGGCAATTCGATGTATGTATTCGATACTCTCATCTGAGTCCGTGGCTAACTATGAACTAACGGAATAGATTGAAATCTTCGGCAAGCAATCCAAAAGCAAGAGTTCCCAGAAAGCCGGGGACAAAGAGAACAGTACACCGGGGTAAGTCTGTTCGCTGTGAGGTTATCTTAATCATCCTACTAATCCAACATCTTTGTCTTGAAGAGATGCAAAACCCTCCGAACCTATCGAGAAGACAGAAAAGCAAATCCAGGAGGAGATCCAAGCCATCTTCCGTCAAATTACCGCCTCCGTCACCTTCCTCCCCGTCCTTGATGGCGACTGCACCTTCAATGTACTTGTCTATGCCGACGCCGATTCAGACGTACCCGTGGAATGGGGCGACAGTGATGCCAAGGAAATTAAGAACGCAGAGAAGGTCCAACTAAGGAGCTTCAGCACAAACAATCACCGAGTTGGGACTCTGGTCAGCTACCGGCTGGCGGATTAAGCTCTTGGTGACACATTATGATCAAATACGAAGGATACTATGGATTGGCGTTTCGGGAAAGGATCAAGGACTTCTTCCACTTATCATGTCAGAAACCTTGATATTTGTTCTCTATCAAAATCAAAGCCCCTTGGTTGTATCATGTCTAGTATAAGACCAAGGCAAGCTCTCTCGCTTCGGGAACCACTTATTGCAATGATCTCCCCCATAATAGCGGATTAGATCCAGCACCACATTTTCCAGTCCCAGATTGGAGAATATATCATTTTCCATTCCAGGGTACCAGCCTCGTCTCACTCTTTTGCCTGCCAAATCCGGGTTCACTCCGTAAAGATCTTCTCTCCAAAGGCCAATCCCATTCATTTCCTCGCCTCGAGTCAGGCTCTCTGGTGGGGCGACTTCCACTGGTGGATTGATACCTATCACAGCAACTTTGTGCGTATAGTCTCCTTTTTCCGGGCCAACAGGTACGAGTCCCACAGCTGGAAAGTGGCACTGGATGAATCGAGCGCGCTTAAACTCGTGCGTCACGACTGTGACTCTCTGTGGATAAACACCCGTGTATACCCGGAACTGTATTAGAGAAAATAACAGATTCTGGTATGAATCTGCAGCATTTGTTTCTGCGATGATCCTTGATGGATCGATTGTGGAGATGGTGGACATGGCTCGGAAGTAGTCGTTATCTCTGGCCAGATTCTGGATGTTGCTATACATCAGCTCTGCGTGGCCGCTTGTAGGGAATTTGGGTGCCTTACAAGGTAAGATTGACCTTCACTGAGCTCAGTTCTAGGCTTCTTGGTAGGCCCTCTGTGCAATGGATTAACGAAAAGAAATTGAAAAGGATATGATGGAAAACTCGTACCCAGAAAACACAAGCAAGCTGTGAGAGTCTTCTACTAGAGCTTTCAATCCGGCTTTGATATGATCGATGAACGTGGGTGTTTCCCCTTTTTGGAAGGGCTCGATCAGCCTGCTCAGTGCATCAGATGCTGTCTTTTATAAACAGCTTATTTTAATCACACTAACCACTCGTTCTCTGAGGCTCCAAGCTTTGAGCCTCCGGTGTAAATGGCATGGCAGCAGACAACAATAAGGTGGTTGCATCTGGCAAAGTGGCCATGTGGGCTTGAGGCCATATTGATGGATTTTGGTAGATCAAGCGAATGGTTTGGGGTTTATCACCATGCAAGGCGTATAAATGATGATAGCAAATTGCCCTGGTGAACGACCTCAGTTTCCACAGTTGGTTTTGTCTTTGATCAGACGAAGACAGGGGCGGTAAAGGATGACTCCCCCGCCAATTCTTTCCAAGCTCCTTTCCAGGACATCAACATTCACATCCCGTCCATTCGGAGATTCTGGCTTCTTATTGTTGGAGTTTGGAGTAGATTCCATGTCCGATGGGCCTATCGGTCTCGGTCCATTGTTCGCCAATCTCCTCTTTCTTCATACCTCTCGCAATTATAGAGGCATAAGCGAGCGAGCGAACAGTTCTTGTACACTAGATGAGAGGGGAAATAGTAATTAGGTCAATTTATTAGATTGTTAACAGTCAACTATATCACATCAAAGTGAGGCTGTGGTCAAAGCAACCACGCCATCAGGCATGTCGACCTTCTCTAATATAGTCGGATCTTCCCGAAACTCATCACTCTCAACAAACTGCTTCAAAGCCGAATACATACTCCGCTCGATAACGACTGCGGAAGGGTCTGCCGTGTCCGTCGCACTCATAACATGGGCAAGGTAATGCAAGGCACAGACCAATGCATTCACATCCTGTATACGGTCAAGTATAGCAGGCATATACGTCGGCTGAACAGCAGGTTCGCTCCTCCGGCCGTCTAGATTGAGAGCATTTGCCAGAGTTTCCCTGACCGGGTCCTCCAACGCACGCCACGCATCCTCATACAAGAGCGCCTTTTCCTGGGTAGCCACATTGCCCATACAGAACAACCGCATCAATGCCCGGTCCCCTGGATTCTCCTCCACTTGGAATCGTCGCACGTCCTTGTCGCGGAGAAACTCTGCTCGTCGAATCAATACCAAGTCGTACCCACTGCGGACGGTCAGATTGCCCGCAATGACACTCTCGCATACACCATAGACGTTGCAATAGGACTCAAAGATAGGCTGGGTGAGATTCTTCGCACACGTCCAGTCCATGTGCCCCGCGGCACCGGCGATATCGAGCAATTGCTCCATGAAACGGAGTCGGAAGCTGCGCTCGTGGCCCTTCATGCGGTGTAGACCCGATAGGCTGGCTGGGGCGTTTTCTGCCTGTGCCAGTTGGCTAAAGTTGAAGGTCGCACCGAGCTCAATCGCCCGGAGCACATCGTCCCTATCTTGGTCTGGGATCTGGTTCAGCGATGGAACTAGGCCGGCCTTACAGGCCACAAGGAGAATGGCGTTGTGGTTGAGAGTGGAGAAGTCCACACCAGTCTTTGCATGGCAGTCGGATGCCAACTTCGGGTCTTTTCCTAGATCCTTGATGATTATTGAGGTGATTAAGGTAAAGAGTGCGTTCGCATCTGTGATGAGCTGTGTGTAAAATCCGTGGATCCAATCAAACGAGGCTCTCGTCAGTTGAGAAGCGGACGTCTGTGAACCGATGAAGGTCTCGTATTGACCCGTATGAATCCAGCGGATTGCTAGAAGTCCCACTAGCGTGCGGTTCACTTCATCGTACTCTTCATTGTATAAAATGTAGGATGGGGACGGAGTGCTAGGAGGAGCCCAGGGACCGTCTCGGATGGAGTATGCCCGTCGCAGACGGTCAATTTCCCCCGGGAACTCCTTGTACACAAGGCGAATTAGATCCTCGTCCGGACGAGCAAAGAGAGCGTCTGGAATACCACAAGCATCTCGTAGGGACTGAGGTGAATTCATGCTTGCGGATGTTTTCCCGTTAGTTCCGATGTAAGCCGCTGGGAGTTTTATGAGAATCGGGGACCTGTACCATTGGTCCGACGTTTCCGCTAACATCAAGAGATGAAAGAAACCATTACGCTGAAGATAATTCATGGTTGTGAGAGAAAAATAAAGATAACATAATTGTACATGTTTGTCATCGCCCTTAATCCATGCGCCATAATATCAGGCCCCAGATATGGAGACCCTCTCGCTAAATGCATCCGCGAGGTGAGAAACAAAGGCGAAACAAGTGGAAAGAAAAAGAAAACACCTGACCCAAGGGGGCATGCAAAGGATTTTGAAAATCAGGACGAATCAATATGTGCCGACATCCCAGACCATGAAACGCACGATGAACGCCAACCAAAGAATTCTGGTTGTAAAATGCATATCCATGACCCAGTACAAGATATGGAAGAGACCATCGACCAACGTAATAATGCATAGATAGGAGAAAGGAAGATTGTACCAATGTAGAGAACAGCAGTACAAGGGTATCAGTCGAAAAGGAATCATGTGGCGATACATGCTTTGATTTAGAGAGGATCGTGGCGGAAAGTGCAGTTGTCGCCTTTGCGACACTTGCCCTCAGCCCAGAATCTGCAGGCAACTAATCCCACCTTATACTGTTTCAAAAGAGTTAGCCATTTGTCTATCGTAAAATGCTGAATCCGCAGCGTACTTACAGGCTTAGCCTCGTTGGCGCCAACTTTGGTCCGTTTCGAGCGACTCCACGATTCGGAGTTAGACTGCTCGTCATAATAACTGCCCTCGTGGCCTCGCTTGCGCTCTGGGTCTTCATAGTCATGGCCTTGCTGTTGGAATGGGAGAGAACCGACTTGCTGGTTCTGCCCACCGAATTGTGCGAACATGGCGCCGAGGTTGGGTGCCATTGCTGATTGCGATTGCTGAGGCTGAGAGTATGCAGCCGGCCCCTGCATTTGTTTCATGACATTCAAGATCGCGTTGAAGTCAAGGCCTTGGGGCTGAGCAGTGGGTACTGGTGGAGCCGGGGGAACCTGGGCTTGAGGCTGTTGCTGACGGAACATGTTGATGGTCCTCTCGAGATCCGGCATGCCCCCGGATTGGGTTGGCTGCGGTGGTGGGATTGGCTGCGCCTGTCCAGGCACACCCTGGATGATCTTGAGCAAATTGGAGATGTCGAATCCACTGTTCCCGGCAGTAGGTTGCTGCGGCTGTTGGGGGGCCGTGGGCTTGGGGTTCACATAGGAGTAGTAACGTTCCTGACGGACCTATAGTGTCTTTGTTAGTTTTGGATTATAGTGTATAGTGCTATCGAGTGTATAGCATACCTTGACCAAGTCGGGCAATTCTCCGAAAGGCAATACATCAGTAACAACATCGTCGGGGCCAGGAGTCGGTGGCTCCTTGGGTGTGTCAGGCATGTCGGCAGGAGACGTATAGAAGACCATAAGGGTAGTGGATTCTCGATGCTCCTGAGCCTCCCTCTCGGGACTGGTTGGCAACTGGGGGCCACCGCGTTTGATGAAACTGTCAGCTTTTGATTCGTCGAAATCGAAATCGACCACTATGATGGTCAGTAAGAATTTGAGGTTCAATTTGGAGAAATAACCTACTCGAAAGAGCATAACCATCTTGATATACGGTCTCGCGAATACCGCCAAGGTCCTCTTCTTCCAGTTCGTCCATATCTTTGTGAAGCTTAAGAACACTACCTTCGCCTTTAACGTCTCCCCGTGAACGCAATGACCCGTCGCCGGGGCCTAATTCTTCATCGGGATCGTGGGTGAATAGTCGAACTTCAGCAAGAGCATCATCCGGCTTCCAGGTCACGCGAAGTTTACGGCGCTCTTCTTTACGCAACCTCTTTGCCCGCTCAGCTTCAGTCTCCGGGGGCTGGTCTTCGGTGGGCTTGGGGGTTGGTGCCTGCTTCGGTTTGTTCAAGTCGGCCATAATGTCACCAAAGGAGAAAGCTGGTTTCGGTGCTGGTGTTGTCTTTTCCTTTTCGGGGGGAGCACTACTTGAAGGGTTAATACAAATGAATCTCGGGACACCGTTTTCGTGGATACATACGTTGGTTTTGCTGCAGCGGCGGCGGCAGCCCTATCCGCATTTGTGGTCCCGGGTCTCTTTGACGCTGAGCTTAAAGTTCCAAAGAGACTTGTTGGCTTGGGAGCCACGATATTGGCCTTAGGTCGCAGCGCTGCAGGGCCGGTTGGCTTACTACTTTGTGCTCCCTTGGCTGATCCATTGCCTGCGGGTGCAACTTTATTCACATCCTTCGAGGTGTTGGTAGCCGCCATTCGTTTTGCGCCAGGTTGCAGGTTGCTATCCGCCTCGCGGGGTCGCTTCACTCCAGTCTCTCCCTTAGGCTGGTCTGTTGAAAGGCCCTTTGGATGCGACTCTTCTTTCGCAGGCTTTTCACTATCCTGCTTACGCTTCGTCCAGGCCGCAGCATTATCCAGGATCTTCTGTGTGAGGTCCTTAACCTGCTGACCACCTTTTTTGAGGAACTTGGGGAGTAATTTGGAAAGATTGGTCTTTTGCAACAGGTCTTCTGTCAAACTCGTGAAACGCGAGAAGAGCTTATTCGATATCAGTCAATTCATTCGACAAAAAGAAACAAACGTCAAACTTACCGAAAGCAGATTAATAGTCAGAGTCCCAGCAAAGTCTGCTGCTTGGAAACGGTCGAGCAAGAAGGAATATAGAGCCGCCACAATCATAGGGTGCTCTCCCAGCCTACATGGAATTAACAATCAGTTATTTGAGCTCAACTATGTCAATGTTTCAAGTTTTTTTTGGCGCACAAAGCTGTAAGCTTGAGCCAATTTCTAGATAGGAGTGATTCCCCCTCAATATGGTTCACAGATAGCTTCCTAAGGGCATATCCGAGACTCAATATGATGGGACCCTTTTGCTCCATCTGATATTCTTATATATGTGCCCAGGACACAATGTATAATGAAGCCTTGCCACGGCGAATAGAGCGAGGGCCCTTTATTCTAGCCCGCGGCAGTGTTGTCATATCCAATGCTTCCAGGAATATTTATAGAAGTTTCTCGAATAGTTTCGGGATCTGTGTGACCATCACAGCCAGATGGAAGGGAGGGAAGATATGGTATTTGGGGAGGGGAGAGTGATACATACTTCTCAACAATATTGGGATGACCCATTTCTAGTGTTGTGATCGCAATTTTATCCATACTGCGACGTTGGGAAATGACCTTTTCCTTGAGCTTTGTCGCTTTCTTGTTGTCCTCTTCGTTTTCGGCTAATTTCATCGCCTGAACTTGTTCCTTCCATGCATCTCTCAATGATTTGACAAGCTCTTTGTAGGCTACCAGCGCGTTCTTGACCTTCTCAGGACCAGGCCATTTGTTCCTTGGTGACCACACGGCTTGGAGGGTATCATATTGCGCGGCAGCCTCGGGCTCAGTCGGACGGATCGGAGGGATAGGAGACGGCTCGTCAGGCGCTTCGATCTCAAGATCGGATTCATCCGAACTTTCACTTTCTGACTTAGATACAGTTCTGGTTTGGCCATGTGCAGAAGTCTTCTTTGTTTGCTGCTTATTATAAGCACCCTTCTTATTGGTGATTACAACTTCCGGCATTGGGAATCCTAGGAAAGTCAGTATTAATCCCAACGTAATGGATTTCTACGGGTCTGGACATACCTCTAGGCGGAAGCGCCGAGTTGCCAGTTGGTGTCATCTGTGGCTGAACTGAAAGATCATGCTGGTAGTAATTGAATAGCCTGGTCCTTCAGAAGATCAGCCATGGCATTTCGAACAAAAAGAAACTAAAGTAACAACTTACTGTTCACTCCCTTGTCGCTGGAAATCCGCAGGCATTCCCTGAAGAAAGTTGCTTGCTAACGAAGACTGCTGTTGATTGAATGCCTGCGGGGTGGAATTTAGGAACTGGGGGTTAATGGTGACATTTGGGTCTGTGTCAGGGTAGTCGTTGGTCAAATCAATTGTGTTTTGCTGCCTAGAGTTAGAGTCACGGTTACCATGAAGGGCATTTAGGGTCGGCTTACCAGCATCTCTGAGGAGTACCCTTGAGGTAAAGGGTATGGAGAAACCGATGGCTGGGGTTGTTGCTGCAGCCGTGGCTGTATTCTCTGCTGCGTAGATGCTTCGGAGAAAGTGTCTGGTACTGAGATATGTGGGTGTTGTGGATGGAAGTAATTTGGCTGGTAGGAAAATGACGGAAATGCCGAAGATTCGGATGCATTCAGGGGATGAGAGTCAAAGGATATCTGTCCCTGCTGGAAATGAGGAGCTTGCGGGAGTATCTGAAATTGGGCCGAAGCTCCATATCCTCGCTGCGGTGGCTGTTGCAGAGGATTTGCTTGCTGCCAAGGCTGATGCACCGACGAGTAAATGCCATGGTTTGGCTCTGCTCGTGGGGCTGTATCTCTTTGTTGGTGTTGGAAAACAGGATGGTCCCATCCAATGCCAAGAGATGCTGATTGTGATGCAGAATCGTGCTGCTGTTGAGGTTGCTGTTGAGGCTGAGGTGGCTGCTGAATCTGCTGCTCGGGATCGGGGTACGCGGGATCAAGCGTGCTCCAGTAATCTGCAGGTAGTGAAGAATTCCCATGAGGTAAGCCCTGCATGGGGTTTTGTGCTGATTGCTCCATGGTGAGCCTCAGTCGAAGCTTCTCTAAGCTACGACGAACCTCACGTAATCACGTGGACGCACCTGCCTGGGCCTGGAGTTTATTTGTTGCTCACCGCCTTTTATTTTTGGGAGAAAGTGGGTCGGGAACTCGGAAGGATGAATAATTTTTCCGGTGAGGACGTAAGATGATTGGCTGGCTGTCTTGCGACGCGGCAGAACAGGGGCCTGTATAGCTGCTGGTCTGAAGGATTGATAAGGATTAGACAATTCACAGTTTGATACGCCTAGAGTGGACTTCAAGAGTTGCAGTATGAGTACTGTCGTACCTTATGAGAGAAAACAGAGACTGCTTTTGGCTTTGACTCAGGATTAAAGTGGTGTATGCCTCAGGCATCAACCGTGTTCCCCCAGTACTGCGAGTGACGCCGTTACCTTTGGCCTTGCAGCTTAATGACGAAGGCTCCGCAGTTGCGAATACAACGTAGAAGTATTAAGATGGCCCAGCTTTCCAATTCCAGTGCCTTTCTCCTTGTGTCCTTGGCTTTGTATCTCCTTCCTTCTCTCTTCTTGGGCCGTTCCTGTTGTCCCTGTAGGGCTTTTCGCTCTCCTTTCTCGTTCTTAAGTTTTGTCCCAAAAGAAAGTCCTTGCGGAATCAGAGAAGGGAAAAGCTCTCATACGAAGGGCCACTCTAGCGTCACAGCCATTCGCTTTACGAAAAGAAAAGAAGGGATTGGGGGAAGGTGTTGAGGGATGGTTAGAGTAGGTGACTTGGGTTGAAGAGAGTAAAAGGGACAGAAGCTGCTGGCAAGGCGGTTAACCGATGGTATGATGGCATACCATAATTGACCGTAATTGTTGTATTGAAGACCCTCCATTGGCCCACCACCATGTAACTTACAGCCCCTGTGTTACGTGGCAGAATCGACCACATGTGATCTTGAATGTTTACAGCGTTTGCAACATTTATGTCAGCGCAGCTCAGCGGGATCCATGCCAGGTGGAGCGATAGCAAGAACCCCGGTGTCAACAGTGCAAAATACAACCTCATCCTTATTCTAAGAGTTGTGCATATTCTCCAGCGATCTTCCTGCGCAGCTCTGAAGGTTTCCAAGCTTTGGTGGAAACCGAGCATCTCTCCCAATCTCACACAGCGCTGCCAGCTATTGCCATGGCGCAATCCATGTCCCTCCGGGACCGACAGGTTGGTAAGTGATGCAAGCTGATTCTTGTTATGAATTGCCTTTACTGATACCTGGCTTTCAGCATCAATTCAAAAGCTATTGAACTTGAATCATGACCCACAACCTGTTGAAGACGGCACCATCGATCAGTCCGGGTCCGGCGGTCTTATCTCGCGCTCCACTCCGATCTTGAACGAAGATGGTGACCCGATCTGGAAGGTCTTGGTGTTCGATAAAATGGGCCGAGATGTCATCAGCAGTGTACTGAGGGTAAATGACCTCCGGGCATGGGGCATAACTATTCATCTGTACGGTCGCCGCCTTCTCCCACTAAATTGGCCCCATCGCTAACGAAGACTCACTCCTAGAAACCTTCATTCACAAAGGTACCCTATTCCAGATGTCCCTGTTGTATATTTCGTGGAACCAACGCCCGATAATATCCAAGCGATCACTCGCGACCTTTCCCATGGGCTCTACTCCCCAGCCTACGTGAACTTCCTATCCTCCGTCCCGCGGCCACTTCTTGAGGATTTCGCTTCTCAAATAGTTACTTCTGGCGCATCTGAGCACATTGCGCAGGTTTTCGATCAATATCTCAACTTCGTTGTGGCAGAGCCGGACCTCTTCAGTCTAGGGCTTGGAAACGATGCATACTACAAGATCAACAGCCCAAAAACGAGTGATGAAGACCTGGATGGGATTGTTGACAGCGTGGTTAACGGCTTGTTTAGTGTGAGCGTGACAATGGGTAAGTATTATATCCTACCTTGGATCATCGGATGAAGATCTGACTGGCTGGGTAGGTACTATTCCAATCATACGGTGCCCCAAGGGAGGTGCGGCGGAATTGATAGCAACAAAACTGGATCGCAAACTACGAGACCACATCCTCAATTCCAAAGACAACCTCTTTTCGGGCAGTCAGAACACATCGCCGGGAGTGCCGTCGGCACGGCCGGTACTAATCATCATGGACCGAAACGTCGATCTAGTCCCAATGCTCTCCCACTCGTGGACATATCAGTCACTGGTCCAGGATGTTCTTGAAATGCGTTTGAATCGAATCACTGTGGATGCAGGTGCAGGCGATGCGGACTCGACTAAGGGGTCAAAAAAGTCGTATGACTTGAACAGTACCGACTTCTTCTGGCAGCGCAACGCTGGAGCCCCATTCCCCCAAGTGGCTGAGGATATCGATGCTGAGCTTACACGGTACAAGGATGATGCGAATGAGATTACGAAGAAGACGGGAGCCTCCTCAATTGAAGATCTCCAGAATGACACCAGTGCCTCCGCGCAACATCTCAAGGCCGCCATCACACTTCTCCCTGAGTTGCGGGAACGCAAGGCAGTTCTTGATATGCACATGAACATTGCCACCGCACTACTTAAGGGTATCAAGGATCGGCAGTTGGACAACTTCTTCGAGCTGGAAGAGACCATCACCAAACAATCAAAGTCGCAGATCTTGGAGCTAATCAATGATCCTTCTAAAGGAAGTGAACCATTGGACAAGCTGCGCTTGTTCGTGATCTGGTTCCTCAGCACTGAAACTGAGCTCAGCCGGTCGGAAATGACTCAGTTCGAAGAGGCCCTAACCCAAGCCGGCGTGTCCGATATCTCCTCTCTTGCCTATGTCCGCCAAGTGCGCGAGATCACTCGTATGACCATGATGACAACAGCCGCCCCAGAACAACAATCCTCCGATCTATTCCGTGGCTTCTCCTCACTTTCCAATCGCCTGACCGATCGCATTACCTCGGGCGCTTTAGGTGCCAATTTCGACTCGCTCATTTCAGGGGTAAAGAATTTCCTACCAGCGAACAAGGATCTTACTGTGACCAAGATCACCGAGTCGATCATGGACCCGGCTGCAGCTTCAAGCTCTGCAATTGCAAAGACCGAAAACTACCTCTACTTTGACCCGAGGAGCGCCAACGCACGTGGCGCCATGCCTCCGGCATCCGCATCGCGAAACCCGCAAATGCCTGGTGGAATTGGCAGTGCAGGCCCTGGCACCGGCGCCAGTTTCGGACAGCGTCGCCAAGCTTTTAGCGAGGCTATCGTCTTTACAGTTGGCGGTGGAAGCATGGATGAGTATGGCAACTTGCAAGAATGGGTTCGCCGAACAAATGGCCAAGCGGGCGCCGAGGGTGCGCCAGGTCAACGTGCGGCACCTGGACACCGCCGAAGAGTTGTCTATGGAAGCACAGACCTGATGAACGCCACTGAATTCCTGTCGGATTCATTGGCGCCTCTCGGTCGGGATAGCTGAATGTAATTGTGGCTGTCGACATTAACATAGAGCCAACCTGAGGGTTGTAAAACATAGTATAATTGAAGCGCTCTGATGTGTTTTATGGTGCCTAATGGCTGTTCCTTCTTGGCATTGACTGCTTAGATAGCGTTTTTTGCTCTGTTTCCCTCATATTAAGTATCCAAATTCCACCAATGATTATACCTATTTGAGGTACGAGACGGGAATATATCGAACTCCACCTAATGCTCTGACCTAATCCCAAGGTCTCCCCGCGGTCTCGATCAAAACATGTAACTATTTTGGGTAGAACGAAATAAACAGAACTCTCTCGAGTCTAGTTGTGTTTACGGCATCATTTTGGAAATCTACAGAAACTCCTGAATATCTGGCACTTGTGGGGTTCAATGGAATCATCTATCAATTCTATGGGGTATAGAACTATACACCAACATCATCGCGCCTTCTGCAACAGTCTGGAACCCGAAGCCCCAGCAAATTTGACCAATCAGAACTATTTCCAAATATGTGCGACTTGCGATTTAGCTTCTTTTCCCATTCAGCTGCATTGCCTCACTTGGCGAATTCTCCATGGTCGCCCAAGTGATGTCAAGGCAATATCATCGTCCTGAGATCTAACGCCACGACGAGGATATAAGAATCAGACTGACCTGGGGCTTTTTACTATCCAAAATAAAGAAATAAAGAACTCTTAAAAAGAAGAATAATTTCTCAACAAATCTTGTTGAACACATCGTCAAGATGACCAACTACGGAGACGCCTGGAATACGACCTACGACACCACCACGGGGTCCGCCTACGACACCACCGCGGGGTCAGCCTACGACACCACCGCGGGGTCAGCCTACGACACCACCGCGGGATCAGCCTACACTCCCACAGGCTCATCCACCTATAATACCTTGGGTTCGACCTACAGCCCCTCGGGCTACGGCACCTATGGTACCAGGGACTATGGCACAGTGGGCTACGGTTCCAATACAGCTGCTACGACTTATGATACCGACACCGGCCGCGGCACCACATCCTATGACCCGGCCACCGGTGCCTACGACCAACATCTTGATTACAACACCCCTACCGGCCGCCGACACCACCGCGAGCGCGTTAACTCGGCTGGCACTTATCGTCACCGCGACGTTGACCGATATGATGACGGATCTGCTCGTGTCCACAAGGAATATGACAATCCAAACACGGGTACCAGCTACCACCGTGACTTCACGCGTTAAATCGCCCGGAATTGAGGAGGACTTGTTGGGTTTCGACCCAGGCTTGTATATAAACATAAACTGACATGAGACACGAACCTTTTATGAATCACTGAAACAAAAAAACAGAAAACAGAAAAATGCGAAAAAAAAGGTGAAAACCAAAAAAAAACCAAAAAAAAAAGCCTGATTTGTTGTCCGTTTTAGCGACTACATGTACATAACTCGTTCCTTGTCATT